GATATCCAGCAAAGCTATTTCAGCTCTCTCTTAACACATAATTGGAAGAAAGACTTGATTTCATTTTTTATATCTTTGCTTACCGATATAGTCTTAATCCTGGGATGTTATGGCATAACTGACTTTCAAACCATTTTTATCAGGGATTTTTTTTAAACAAAATATTACATAGAATCCCAATATCTAGAGAGGGTAAACAGAGTTAACTTTGATTAAAGTGCGACTGGCTATTGCCTATTTCCTTTAAACAACTTTACGGGGCAATAGAAGTCTAAAGAACTAGTTAAAGCTAGATAGTGGAAAGGCATTGTTCAAAGTGTAGACACCTGAGGTACATCAACTCTGATTTTTTACTAGCTGTGCATAGGGTAGTATACCACGCTGCTCTGATACGTAGTTTCTCCCTGTTTTTTGATGAAGAACATAATAATCTACAAAGTATTATTTGTAGATCAAATTTTTTAAATCACTTGAATATGTATCAAAATTTTAGATCACTGAAACCCTGTCTGCTCAATTTATCCATTGTTGCTTAGCGTTATACAAACATTGCGTATTGTTACTCAGCCCTCTTATTTGTCCTCTCAGTTAATAAAAGTGCCCAATGTCTATTACTACTCTTTCCTAAAATAGCATTTGAATATACAAACACTAACCATAATCTTGATATGAAGAGTATATTATATTAGACCAACCCTTCCACAAAGAACTACAAAAGCTAGAAAAACTACAAAATATAGCTATTTGAAGACAGCAATGTCATCAAGGACTTGAAAGATCATAATTTTTGGAGGGAGAAAACACACATTGAAGTAAGCTTGTATTGCTGTCTACTATTCCTTTAAGGAACTTTACCATAAATAAGTGACCCAAGGTCAAGGAAAGTCAAGAGTATAATGGTAATTCAGAGCTTTCAGTAGTCATGTGAGTCTGGATGGTGAAATTTGGATTTCAGTGCTAACAAGGAAGCCAAGCCATAAGGAGTCAAAACATTAGAGAAAAAGGTGGTATAAACATAAAAGTTCAACTTTGATTTTTTTTTCCCCCCTAATGTTAACCACTTCTAAGGCTGAAAATGGTGGGAGTCAGAGAAGTCAAATAGAAAATAACAGTTTAGCAAAGCTATTGTCAATCTCATGGTGCTTGGAAGAAAAAAACTAGAGTAGAACCTGGTAGGTTAGAGTAACCCTAGGGATTTATGTAGAGTCTTTATGTAGAGTCTTTCCATTGAGAATCCTGAAAAATACACCCTTGAGAAGAGTGAAACTCTGCTTTATGACAAGTCATAATCTCCAGGAAATCTGCCTGTATCCTGATACTTACCAATATTAACATAAATGTGAGCTGGAAGAAGATAATGTTATATAGACCCTATAAAATGTTCTTCTCATATATAATGCTAGGCAAAAATAGCTGAGCTGACCCACTACCACCAAATATGGTCAAATATTTGAAAACCAAGAGGGGAAAATTAGAAAATAAAATGTATGCAGAAATAATTTGGATGCTGGAGTTCAAGTTCAAGGATTTTGATTTTTTATTAATTTGCTTAAAGTTTCCTTTTTTTGTTGAGGAAAACAGTGAGTGAGATAGAAACAGAGATAAAGACAGAGACACAACACCCCACCAAGGTCTTGATGCCTTTTCAAGCCTCAGTCAGCTTGATAGTCTTGATGCCCTAACCTTAGTCAGCTCTGGATCACTGTCATATGCATGCCTGGAATACTTTGGAGTTTACTGAATGCAAATCCAGAACATTCCCATGTTGGTCAGCCTTAAAGAGCATCATATTTTACTGTTGCACTGCCATTCAGTCTCTCAAGGACTTCAGTATAAAAATGATTAATATATTTAAGAAAATTGGGGGCTAGCAGATAGGATAGTGGTTATATCACTGGATTCTCACATGGCCAACTGTGGTTCGAGTCCCAGACCTGTGGCTTGAAACTCTCACTAGGCGTAAGACTCTGGTAGGACAATGGAAGAGAAGAGACTGCAATGTGGCCATCCCCACTGGGGGGTGATTCCTCATTTCCCCTCTCACTGTCTCTGTCTCTGTGTCTGTCTCTGTGTCTCTCTCTCTCTCTCTCTGGTAAGTGCACGTGCCCAAAGGCAAAAATGTCTACAAAAGAGAGAAAGAGAGAAACAGAGAGAGAGAGTGAAAGAAAGGTGACAAAATAAATCTATAAAATATAATAAAACATAAAATATACTATTTTAAAGTTTAATAGCAATATAAGGAACTCATTAAATATATTTATTGTGCATTAAACATAAAAGCAGAAAGGAAAATACACAGATGGACACACGGTAGGAAACTGTAAGAAACATATGGAACATAATGGAAAGTTCTAGTATAAATGTAATTAGAGTCACAGAAGGGATAGAAGTGTTTCAAGGGAAAGTAGCCAAAACTTGTCCAAAATTAAGAAAAAATATCAAGCCATAGAAGAAAATAACAGTGTGAAACAAAGACAGGAAAAATTCAAAGAAAACCACACCTAGTCATACCATAATAAAACTTCTTATAATCCATTACTAAAGAAAAACATTAAACAGACAGTGAAAAATAGACATTATTGTTTACAGGTAATTATCTATAAAGGAGCAAAAGTGGAACTCACAGCTGACTTCTCAAGAGAAACAATGAAGGCAAAGAGCAATAGAATGCAACCTGAAAGTGGTGAGAGGATATAATTGACGTGCTAGAATTCTAAATCCAGTAAATATTTGTTTTAAAAATGTCATTAGTGGGACCAGCAGTTAGCGTAATGGCTATGTTGCTGGACTCCCACGTAGTTGACCATGGTTTGCGTCCCAGATTCAGTGGCTTAAAACTCACACTGGGTGCGTGTGCATGAGTGCCCAAGATCCCGAGAGGAGAACGGAGAAGAAGGGATTGCAGTGTGGCCATCCCCCCAGGGGGTGATTTCTCGTTTTCTGTCTCTCTGTTTCTCTCTGTCTGTCTGGCGAGTGCACGTGCCTTATAGCAAAAAACTCTCAAAAAAAAAAAAAAGGCATTAGTAAAATATAATTTTCAGGTAAGTAAAATCTAAAAGAAATAATTATCAACAGAACTGTAACAAAGGAAGTATTAAAGAGTGTTTTATAAATAAAAGGAAAATGAGCCCAGAGAGAGAGATTTAGATGTTCAAGAATAAACAAAGAGATAAAAAATTGTAAATATGTGGGTTTATCTACGTAAGTAGTGAATAAATGATATATTGAAATTCAAAGAGCTTAGAATGTAGAGAGATAAAAGGCAGTAAAAATATATTTTAGAGAGAAATAAATGCAGTTACAGTTTATTTTGTCAAAATTTAGAAAAATACTAACTTGTGCTAAATTATAATGAGTCAAAGATTCATATTATAGTCTCTGGAATAAATATTAAATGAATAAAGATATATAACAAAAATATAAAAGAATAAAATAGCAAAATGATTCCAAGATTATAGAAAAAGAAAGCAACGGGGACCAACAATTGGTGTAATGACTATGTCGCTGGACTCTTATGTAGTCGACCGTGGTTTGTGTCCTGGACCCGGTGGCTTAAGCTCATGCTGTGTGAGCGCATGCCCAAGATCCTGAGAGGACAATGGAGGAGAAGGAATTGTGGCATGGCCATCCCCTGGGGGATGATTTCTCACTTTCTGTCTCTCTTTCTTTCTCTCTCTGTCTTTCTGGTGAGCACATGCACCCTAAAGCAAAAACCTCTCCAAAACAAAGAAAAAGAAAGCAACAAATTGATGATTTTAATACTAAAGCTGATATCTGTAATGTCTTTGACTCAGCACTGAAAATGAATAAACTTCAGCTACACTCAACCATGCAGATGAGTTTCACACATATTAAGCAAAAGAAATCTAGACATAAGTGGGTATTTCAGTGTAGAATTTCATTAATGTAACATTCAAAAATGAGAAAACTAATCTGTAACAATTTTACATGGGAGTTACTTTGGAAGGAAGGTCCCTGTGATAGGCAAGCTTCAGTTGTATTGATAATGTGCAATTCATTCATCCAGGGGGTAGTTGCAAGGATGTATCACTTTGTAAAAATGTCTTCCACTATACACTTAATATTTATATGTTTTTCTCTACATATAATTCAATAATATAATAACAGTAATAAAAGAGAACAGATAATGGAAATGCAGATGCTCCTTTGGTGTGGTGGATAAAGTCATCTGGGTAAGAACAACATTAGTACTCACTTTATATGATAATGTACAAAAAAAAAAACTGGTAGAACAATATAGTTGGTCAACTTTTGTAAAGTACCAGCATATATTTCCATACTGAACTCTTATTAAAAACAACCCAGAATCAAGCGCATATTGTAGTAGATAAAAAATGTCTCATACTCTTAATAACTTATTACAAGTCTAGTGAAGAGCCAAGGTATACATACCCAAAATAAAGAATGTTCCTAGTAAATATATATTAGAGAAAAAACTATATAGAAAATATTGTAATGTGCAGACACTATGAAAATAAGAGTAATCAGTGTTGGAGGACTAAGAGAAGAATCTACAGCGTAATGAATTGGGCTTTATATGGGAAATATCTCAAGCTTAATTTAGTAATGTAAGACATTAAGTTACCTTGGGATTTATATTTTGTCACAAGGATCCTTTGGGGGAAATTAGTTTGTCTGATTGTCCATAATAGGAAAGTTCCATTCTGTATTGCTTTGTGTGGATTTTTTATAGCATGCATAGTAGATAAATTAAAAAAAAAAAAAAAAAAAAAAAGAAAAGGATTCACAATTTATTTCCCTTGAACTCAGTAAGGAGGGTTTGGACTGAGTGGCATACGTGGTGGCTGAAAAAAATGTGCTTTGCCATCCTGGCTGCTCTGTGACATCACTCTGTCTCCCTGGGCCACCACAGAATGGCACTGAGAGTTTATTCCAGGCAGGAAAGACCAGAGGACAAACTTCAAAAGGACCTCTAGTGGCAGATTTTAAGACCAGAATTGTTTTTATTTATTTATTTTAAAACTTTGTTGACAAAAAGAGTTCATTTCCCCTGAACCTTTAAGCACCAGATGGGCCTGCACCTTCCAAGGACTCCTTTCTTCTTTAAAAGCACAATTGTTGTTCAGTTCCTCTCAGGTGCAGATTCATTAGCTCTTGACTGGCTCTCCTTGTTTGCTGACTACTTGTGGAAAAAGCCATTTACCCTGGTGAATGTCAAGGTTAGTGCAAACTGTCCTTGTCATCAGTCTCTCTGGCAGAAGGTCAGGGATAAGCTTTCCTCAAATGGGCAGCGTCAAACAAAGCCGAGATGGACTTAACTCACCAAAAGGAAGAAAGGCCTGCATAGGAGTTGATAAACATTCCTGTGGGCTTTAAGGACAAAAGATTAACTATTCTCTTGCCATTTCAAAAGATTCACTGGAAGATGCCTTATAGTATCTGGATATTTTAGAGCATGAGTATGATTATAAAGTATAACTAGCTATATCTGTCCATAGCTATTCTTATATCTATCTGCATATCTATCATCTACCTATCTCATTTGTTTAAACAAATTATCATACCTTTTTAAAGTTTTCTACCAGTTTAGAGAGAGAGAAAAAGAGAGAGAGCTACTTCAAATGGAGCCTTCGCAACAGTCTACCCTCAGCCTTAGCTAGCCTAGATCATGGTCATACACATTTCCACAGCATGTGCAGGGAGACCCAGGACATGAACCTGGGACCTTCCCATGTGGGTTCAACATCACTGAGCATTGTGTTACAGGTGAGCCACTGGGCTGGCCAAATTATTGTACCTTTCTAAGAGTCCAGTTTGGAAGTGTATCCCCTTATACTAGCTTTACTGTGATTGATCTTATTGTTAATTTTAAGTAACACTTCCTCTCAATTTACTTTTACAAACAAATGAAAATAGCATACGAAGAGCAACCACATTCTGCAATAGTTAAATTTTGATTTACTTTTACAGAACAATAAAATTTCAAAGTCGGAAGAATCTCAAGCTTAACCTAGGCCAATCTTACATCTGATACATAAATCTTTTGCAATAATTTTGGCCACTGTCATGCAATCCCAGGTGATCTCTGACTGAAACACACCTGCTTCACAGGAAGGCCATTCCAATGTAGGGAAGTTTTCATCTATTATCATTAGAAAGAAAGATTTGGCTTATACCTAGCTAAAATTCATCTCCTCATAAGTTTAACCTGTTAGTACAAGTTCTGCCCTCCAGGATGATAAAGAAGATCAAGCCTTCCTTAACACATAGCTCTTCGAATATTTGGAAGAATAATCATGCAGCATATAAATATTTTCTTCTTTGGACTATCCACTTCTTAGATGAAAAAACTGCCACACAAAGCACTTCTCTGTTTGTATTCCTCTTAATGATCATTAGTTTTTACAACATGTTCTTAAAATGTGGAATCCAGAAATGTAAACCATATTTTTTCAGATGATTTTGGATCTTGAATTCTTTATATACTTATAAGTAATATATATTTTATGTATTATATAATATATATTATTCTTCCACAGTATCCATTTCCACATGGATTCACTGAAGAGTCAATTAATACCTAGAACATTGTTTACCTAAGCTACAGCCAGGGCAGATTTGGTACTTATATTTTGTACTCCAATCCCAAGTCCAGACCAGGTATATGTTTTTAAATTAATGTATCAGCCTTTTAAATGATTCGTTTATTATTCACAATTGGCCACTGTTGCATTAACATATGAAAGACCATCGTAATCTTCCAGAAAATGACTGGGAACACTGTATACTACTCTCTTGGGTATGTTATTTGTTGGATTCCCTCTTAACATCTTTTCCTTAGAGTTTCACTGGGTACTTTCGTTGCTTTCTTAGAAAGTTTTTCAGAACTTTCAATCAAAACACCAAAATACCATCCTTTATATAATTTTAGTGACCTAAATACTTTTCCATTAAAATAAATCCTGCTTTCTGACCCAGAGATTCAGAATCATTAGAAATACATGTTGATTTCTTCTTATGGTTACACTTGTCCTACCTGACTGGAAATAGGACTTTTTTTAAAAGAATTATTTTATTTAACTTTATTTTATTTTATCAGAGAGCGACAGAGTAAAAGTGAGAAAGCAAGCTTCCAGGTCCAGGACTCAAACCGCAGTCACCCAGGTGGGAGTACAACACCCTTAACCACCATGCTACCTGCTAGCTCCAGAAATAGAACATTTTTAACAATAAGTGTGTTTTTTTTTTTTTTTTTCCGCTATAGGGCACGTGCGTTCGCCAGACAGACAAGAGAGAGACATAGAGACAGAAAGTGAGAAATCACCCCCCAGGGGGGATGGTCACGCCGCAGTCCCTTCTCCTCCATTCTCCTCTCGGGATCTTGGGCACACACGCACACACGCCCAGCGTGAGTTTAAGCCACCAGGTCCGGGACTCAGTCCGCAGTTGACTACGTGGGAGTCCAGCGACATAGCCATTACGCTAACTGCTGGTTCCCCAGAAATAGAACATTTTTGAAGTACTTCTCACATCCTTTGAAATTTGTCTCTTGTATATAATTTTCATTTTATTTTACTTGCTTGTGACTTTTCTAGATTATTTTCTGGAACTTTAATCCTGTAAATTTTCTTCCATTGTCTCTAGAATTCTTTCATATTGTATAATTAACTGAAGTATTAAAAAAAAAAAGTTTTCTTCTGGCAAGGTGACAAAGTGCTATTTATAGTACACATAACCGTTGAGTACTTGAAAGAGGAAAATTAACCTAGTATATTACAGGCCATTAGGACGATGCCTGCAGTGTCCATACCTTCTGGATATCCAGATGAAGTGCTATCTCATGTGACTTTTTTGGGGGGGAGAGTTTTTAAAGACAGAAAGAGACAGAAAGCGAGAATTCATCCCTCATTCTCCTCCATTCTCCTCTCGGGATCTTGGGCATGCCCGGCATGAGTTTAAGCAACCAGGTCTGGGACTTGAACCATGGTTAACTACATGGGAGTCCAGCGACATAGCCATTAGGCTAACTGCTGGTCCCTTGTGTGACTTCTTATAGACACTATCTTGTAAATCACCATGGCACACAGTTCACTTGTCTTCTACATGCGCTGCCTAAAGATGTGTTCTTTTGTTTTTTAAGAACATTTTTGCCAGAAGGCATGTGAACTGCCCAGAGAAAGATAGACAGAAAGAAGGAGAGAGGGAGAGGGAGAAGAAGATACTCCTCCATAAGACATGGTTCTGCAACAATCCCTTTTCCACCATTTCTCCATCTTGTTGGGATTTGGAGCATGCATGCACACATACCCAGCAGTTTTACAAGTCACAAGGGTAGGAATTCAAATTCTAGTCACCCATATGGGATCCAACTCTCTTAACCACCAAGCCATGGGGCTGACCCAAGACTAATTTCTATTTATGTTAGCCCAATGGCCCTACCCACCAACCACATTTCTCCTGTCTGAGTCTCTCAGTCTCTTAGCTATTGACAGTCCAGTGGTCTCCCCTTTCCACAGGGCACATGATCCAAGACCCCCAGTGGATGCCTGAAACTACAGATAGAACCAAACTCTACATATCTCTGTTTTTAACTCTATATACATTCCTGTAACAAAGTTTCATTTATATGTTATGTTAGGCATGGTACTGTACTCAACTATTGAGGGATGGTAGTCAATCACAGGTAACTGAAACTGTGGGTAAGGGGGACTACTGGGCTAGATACAGCATCTTCTTTAACAAGCTAAGTTTCAGAATACCAAGAACTTAAAAGGACTTTTATCTTGAGTATTATCATCTTCCAGCAGGATTCCTGGATCCCTATCTGCATGTAGTCTTGCCCCTGCTTTCACAGCCACCATGTACTCATTCAGACACGTAAGAACTTAAACCTAGGAACTTGCAATCACTTTTTAACAAGTTACCCTGTCTCTAGACTCAAACCCCATATCTATCCTATATGCAAGCACGAAATTTACATTTTCATTTATTGCCCAATTCAAAATCTGAGTTTTTCCAACACGTACCAGTTGCAAAACAGTTCTAAGTATAGAAAGATTTACTTTTATATTTTAACAAATACAGGTGACATTAAAAAATGTAATTTAAATCATCACTGAAATCCTTTATAATTCTTTTTTCTTTTTATTTTAAAGGAGTCTTCTCATTACTAATTTAACAAGAATGATCTGTTTAGAACTACACAGAACATCATAAGCCTGCCATGAAGGTATTTTGATTTTGATAATCCCAGGAAATGCATATAGATACTGAACTTGTCAGGGAAATATGAAGGTAAGAAGGATGAGAACAGTTCTAAACTAAGCTATTATTACCTTTTTTTCTAGTGTACCTTCATTGCTGCAAGGGCTGCACTAGGCCCCTCAGGTGCTGTGTGCAGAGTGCTCCCAGCATTCCTTCCCTTCCCCTCTCCTGCTGTTGATGGCACAGTCTGCACAGGTCGTGAGGGGAGAGACTCACTCAGAGACTGCACCTGCTAAGAGGAGGAAAATCAATTTTCATCATCCAAAAATACAGAACTGCTGGCACACAAACTATAGTTGTTCAAGGTCCCTAGGGTCCAAGGGGAGTCCTACTAAGAAAGACATATGCTTGGAATGAAAGTCAATACTCTGTCCATGTAACCGGAATAATAAGGAAAGTAGGGAATGAAGAGGTGGAGGATGGAATGTTCCCATGTAAGTCCCCAGTTCTACAATAAATACCAGATGGAATATAGAGCTGTTTTTGTATTGCAGTATTAGGTAGAGATCTTTCTCAGGATAATCTATAAATTCTTTGATATTCTAACCATTCTCAAATGTCAAATTCAGTGGAAAGAAATAACCTCTTTGCTATTCATATTTTACTCTGTTTACTACAACTCTTTACTAGTTTTTATTATTACACTTTTTACTGCTTTTTTTCTATTAGATGCTTTATTTATAACTGATATTTCAGGTTGGAATTTTATAATTTGATTCCAGAGATGACTTGTAAGAAAACACACAAGTATAGATTTGGATTCTTGAAATAAAAATATCTCATAGAGGGGCAGGAAAACTACAAATCCACATACCTACATGCAAGTGAGTGTTAAAATAATACTGTCACCAGTTTTTTATAATTCATATTTTAATTACACAGCAATGCACAAGCACAATTTTTTCATTGCTAGAGAACATGCACACATTCCAGAGGGACAGACATGGGGAGAAAGCACACGTTAATTGGACAAAGTCACACAGCAATCCCATCTCTTCCATTTCTCCACCCAGTTGGGATTTGGGGCATGCATACACACATGCCTGTATGTTTTTCAATCCATCAGGGATGGAATTTGATCCATAGTTGCCCATGTGGAATCTGGCTCTCTTAACCACTAGGCTATGGGGCCAGCCCCATGAATTCGTTTTATAAGTTAAAACATTATTTAGCAAGATAGAGTAAAGGTAAAAATCTTGGGGCCAGCCTGTGACATGGTGGTTGAGGCACCTGGAACTCACATCACCAATTGTAAGCCTTGAACCACTGTTCAAATCCTGAACTCGCAGGCTTGAGAAGCACTCTGTGCATGTGTGTGTGCATGCCCCAAATCCCAATCTCTTTTCATTTACATGAAATACATAATCACATACATGTGTTTAACTTATAAATAAATTGCTTAGCTTTGCATAAATGGGTAATACTTAATTTATGACTTGATTTTCCTACCTAATAACTACCTTGAAGATCTTTCTACATCAGTATTTGTATAGCCATGTCATTCTTTTACATTTCTGAATAATTTTCCATAATATTGATAAACTTAATTCATATAAATATTTAATTATTGAAACTTATTCATCGTTTACCCTCAATAAATGAAAAATATGCAACACTAAATACCTCATTGTCCCTTTTATATGCTTTATAAACATTGATCCTGAATAAGTTCAAAAAAGTAGAATTTTTAGTTCAAGGGACCAGTAGATGGCATAATGGTTGGACTCCCACATGGTTGACTTAGGTTGGAGTCCTAGATCCGGTGGCTTAAAACTCATACTGGATGCGTATGCATGCATGTGTGCCCAAAATCCCAAGAGAGAATGGAGGAGAAGGGACTGCAGTGTGGCTGTCCCCCTTGGGCAAGGAGGGCTGATTTCTCACTTTCTGTCTCTCTGTGTCTCTCCAGTAAGAGCATGTGCCCCATAGCAAAAAAAAAACAAAACCTCTTTTAACAAAGAATAAATAAAAAAGGGACTAGGGACTAGCAGTTAGTGTAATGGCTATGTCGCTGGACTCCCATGTAGTCGACCGCGGCTCGAGTCTGGACCCAGTGGCTTAAACTCACGCCGGGCGCTTGTGCGTGTGTGCCAAGATCCCAAGAGGAGAATGGAGGAGAAGGGATTGTGGCATGGCCATCCTCCCCTGGGGGGTGATTTCTCACTTTCTGTCTTCTCAGTCTCTCTCTGTCTTTCTGGTGAGCACATACACACTATAGCAAAAAACCACTTAAAAAAAAAAAAGAATTTCTAGTTCAAGGTTTGGGAGCTTTGAATTTTGATAGAAACTAGCAAATTGTCTCTAAAAAAAATGATGAAAGATTGCATGGCCACCAATAATGTCTTATGGTTCTCATTTTCTTAAACATGTTGAAATATTACCTAAGTATATTTAAGTGACATTTACAAATATTTTTGTTTTCCTTACTATTTTTTTTTAAAAGTTGAATATCAGGGCCAGCAGGTGGCATGGTGGTTAAGGCTCTAGACTCCGAAATGTTTGACTGTGGTTCGAGTCCTTGACTTGGCAGCTTGATAATCATCCCAGGCTCATGTGAGTGCATTCCCAAGATTCCAGGAGGATAATGGAGAAGGGACTGCAACAAGGTTATGCCCTTCCCACCTTGGAGGGGAGTAATTTTTCACTTTCCCTCTCTTTCTCTGGCAAGTGCATGTGCCCTATGGCAAAAATACACACAAAAATAATATTTCATGTCTCTTTTATCTGTTATTTCTATTTTTTTCTTGTGTTGAACTGCCTGTGAACTTTTTAGACAATTTTGTATTGAGATACATGTTTTCTTAAAGAGTTGCTAGATCTGTATTTTATAAAAAGTACATATCTGGATAATAATGTTTGCTCTTTCATATATGCTTTAGTTATTTTTTTCAGTCTGTTGTTTGTCTTTTATCTTAGTTTATAGAGATTTTGTCATATAGCAAACTTACCTTGTTTTTTTTTTGTTGTTGTTGTTTGTTTGATGTAGGGTGCATGCACTTGCCAGAGAAAGATAGAGGGAAAGTGAGAAATCACCCACCAGAGGGTAGGCTGTAGTAAAAAAAACTGTACATTTCTACTTTCCCATAGGAATTCCTATTATAAATAAAGTCTCCACATATGTGTGTGTCTGTTTCTGAACTGTTTAATTTTATATTTTTAATGCCATACTGTTTTAATCACTGTAGCTTTAATATAATCTGACATCTAATAGAATAAGTCCTTGTAGCTTGTCTTAACCATCTTTTTTTTTTTTTTTTTGAGAGGTTTTTTGCTATAGGGTGCGTGCTCTCGCCAGACAGACAGAGAGAGACATAGAGACAGAAAGCGAGAAATCACCCCCCAGGGGGGATGGTCACGCCGCAATCCCTTCTCCTCCATTCTCCTCTCGGGATCTTGGGCATGCACGCACACGCGCCTGGCGTGAGTTTTAAGCCACCGGGTCCGGGACGCGAACTGCGGTCGACTATGTGGGAGTCCAGCAACATAGCCATTACGCTAACTGCTGGTTCCCGTCTTAACCATCTTTACTCTTTCATTTTCCCAGTTTAGAATTAGCCTGTTAATTTCCATAATACAATCTGCTAAAGACTTTATACAAGTTATATTAAATCAAAATATAAAATCATTTCCTTAGCATTTCTTTGATTTATTAAAGTTAAACCTGCTTTTCTTGAAATTGAAAAATATAGTAAAAAACACATAATTAATAACCATAGTAAACTATATAGCATCAGCTAGGAGCTACCTTATAATATATTCATTCTACTCAGAGCTTCACGCCGTAAGTCAGACATGTATTCATAGACATGTATGTATAAGCAGAGCTTGCTATTGAAAATAGTTATTTAAGAAATTTTGTGAATCAATAAAATGTGGGGGGAAAAAGGAATGGAAAACAACTGTGGACACCTGAGATAATGTGGGAGGAGTGTGGAAAATGGCAGAGGGTGAGAAATAGGGGGGAAATAAATATATATATAAATATATATATATACACACACACACACACACACATACACACACATATGTATATACGAAACTAAAAATGGAAAATTATTGTCAATAACATGTATGATTAAGTTATTATGCAGCATCTACTGGATGAGAAATTACATTTTTTATGCTGTGACAATGCTCAGTGAATAAATTTAAATTAATTATTTTAAAAAATAAGAAATATGGGGCCAGCATGTGGCATGGTGGTTAAGGTGCTGGACATTCCCACATGGCCAACCGTGGTTCAAGTCCTGGACCTGGTGGCTTGCTTTCTCACTTTCTTTCTCTCTCTGTATCTATTGCTGATCAAATTAAAATAAATGAATGAATAAATAAAATTTAAAAAATAAGAAATAAAAATATATTTTATATATATAAATTACATACGATTTTATATATATGATTTTTTAATATATAAATGATACAATTTTATATCATATCATTTTTTATATATCAAATTATATATATATAATCATAGCCCAGCCAGGTGGTGTAGTCAGTGGCAAACTGTGGGTTTGTATCTTCTGGTTAACTTGAAAACACTCCAGATTCATGCACACATAGCCAAGATCCCAACCAGCTGGAGGTCTGAGAAGGGGAATTGTGCTGTGGCTATGTCAGGGGTGCTTTATCACTCTGTCTCTTGTCTGTACCCACATGCATTGTCTACTATGAGTAAACTAAATAATCCTTTAAAATATACATTAAACAAAATTTGGGAATAAATATTTTCACCATCTTGAGTCTTCCTCATCTATGAACATGGTATTTCTTTGCTTTATTTAGAATTTCCATACTGTCTCTCAATATTGCTTTATAGTTTTCTGTGCAGACATCATATACATGTTCCATTAGATCTGTCTGCTCCAAATAATTTGTTATTTTTATACTATTGAAATGGTTTCTCAGTATATATTTTATTTTCTTCCAACTTTTGGAGGCTAATATACAGAAATATAATTAAATACTATACATTATTTTTTATCCATAAACTTATTATACTCACTAATTTATTTTAGTAATTTATGTAATTCATATTTTTATGATAATACATAATCTTTGATACTGAATATTTTAGTTCTTTCATTTAGTTCTTCTAGCTCTTGTTTTTTTCAAAATCTTATTTCTGAAAGTAATATTCAATATCAAATTGAATAATATTGGTGATGGAAAGCACCTACAGCCATTCCCAGTATTGAAACTTTTCAGCATTTCACCATTAAATATGATATTTGCTGCAGGTTTCTTTATAGTTATATTTTATCAGATGGAGGATTTTCTTTTTATTCCTAGTTTGCTAAAAGGTTTTATGTGTTTTTTCTCTATTTTAAAACATTATTTATTTTATCTCATCTATTATTTTTAAGTTTGCTATAGGATATGTGTGCTCACCCGAGAGAGGCAGAGAGGCCAAGAGAGAGAGAGGAAACAAACTGCCAGGTAGGAAATTCAAACTCTGGTTGGCC